ACTGATGGATCCAATGCCTCCCATTAACAAAGTATTTGCTTTGGTTTTACAAGAAGAGAAACAGAAGCAAATCATTTCTCCTTCATCATCCTCCTTCAATCCAACAGTTTACTTGTCTAAAGCTGGAAATTCCTCTGCTAATATGCGTTCTTATGAGAAGAACAAGAATACAATGAGAAAGGAGAAACCCACATGCACTCATTGTGGCATTTTAGGACACACTGCTGATGTATGCTATAAATTGCGTGGGCCTATATGCAGTCACTGTGGTATAGCTGGACATACCACTGATGTGTGCTACAAATTGCATGGTTATCCAGTAGGATATAAATTCAGAGGGAAAAATGCTCCAAATCAGTCTACTTATGGTGCAAATCAAGCTGCAATTCAGGGGACAATGAATTCCAATTCATCCTCCGAATCTATTTCACATGAGACTTCTTCACAGTTTCCAATAACTCAGGCTCAATGTCAGCAATTGCTACAATACCTCAACTCTTCAAATCCTTCTGGTATAAATCATCAAGCAGCAAGTGCAAACCTTACCAACTCTAATCAACATCTTTCCGGTACTTCTATTTTTTCCTTTAGTAGTCATTTACATACATATACATGTTCCAATGAATGGATCATTGACACTGGAGCAACAAATCATATGGTACATTCTGTGTCTATCCTAACTAATGTCACTGCTGTAGCAAACCTATCTGTTAATCTTCCCAATGGGGAATCTGTCCCTGTTACTCATGTTGGAACAGTAAAATTTTCTCCTTCTTTTGTTCTAACTGATGTGTTTTGTGTTCCTGATTTTCATTTCAATCTTTTATCAGTGAGCAAACTCACATCTTCCATGAAATGTGGTCTCATTTTTCTGTTTGATCATTGTTTTATTCAGGACCTCATCAATTGGACGATGATTGGACTGGGTAAACAAAAGGACGGACTTTATATCCTACAAAAACCAGCAGCCAATGTTGTTTCTAGTTTTTCTGTTGCACATCCTTCAAATAATTCCTCAAATGATGTACTTACAGACTTGTGGCATTATAGGCTAGGCCATCCTTCCTTTCTAAGAATGTCATTGTTGCAAAATACTGATATTTCTTTTCCTGTTCCTATGAATAAACATCATGATTGTACAATTTGTCCTCTTGCCAAACAAAAACGTTTATCTTTCCCTTTTCATAATCACTTTTCTGCATCACCTTTTGATTTAGTACACTGTGATATATGGGGTAGTCCTTTTGTTGCTGCTACATATGATGATCATCATTATTTTCTTACCATAGTTGATGATTGTACTCGTTCCACATGGGTTTATTTGCTGAAAGCCAAGTCTGAAGTACGTAACTTACTTCAATCATTTTTTACTCTAGTTGAAACTCAATTTCAGACCAAAATAAAGACATTAAGAAGTGATAATGGTCGCGAATTTGATATGAAAGATTTCTATTCTTCTAAAGGAGTAATACATCAATTAAGTTGTGTAGATACTCCTCAGCAAAACTCTGTCGTTGAGAGAAAGCATCAGCATATACTCAATGTGGCCCGAGCTCTTATTTTCCAATCCAATCTTCCCTTGCATTTTTGGGGAGATTCCATCTTAACAGCAACCTATCTCATTAATCGAATGCCTACACCTTTGCTCTCAAACAAATCTCCTTATGAACTTTTGTTTAAAGCATCTCCTACTTATAAACATCTCAAGGTGTTTGGTTGTCTTTGTTATGCATCTACCTTAGCTCAAAACAGAACCAAATTTGATCCTCGAGCCAGGAGATGTGTTTTTCTTGGATATCCTTTTGCCATAAAGGGTTATAAATTGTATGACCTTGATACAAACAGCTTCCTCATTAGTAGAGATGTTATCTTTCATGAAACAACATTTCCCTTTCATGAATCTAATTCGTTCCCACCTCAATCTTCAAATACACTCATGCGCACTGCTTACTCTCCTGACATTGTTTTACCTCGTCCTATACCTGATATAGAACCCATTTCACCATCTCCATCTTCCCCTTCTCCTATTATTTCTACTCCTATGGTTCCCCAACTCCGTCGTTCCGGTAGAACTCACAATGCTCCTGATTATTTGCGTGATTATCACTGTCAAATGGCAACATCCCTCTCCTCCCCATCCATATCTGCGTCAACCAATCCAGGTTTGCCAATTGATCATTCTCCAAATCAGCCCTATGATATCACTGCATCCCTTTCTTATACTCAACTTTCACATTCCCATAAACAATTTGTGTTAGCAATTACAACTGATTTTGAGCCTCGGTTTTATCACCAAGCTGTGAAATATCCTCATTGGAAAGATGCCATGGCTGCTGAAATTACAGCCTTGGAAGAAAATCACACATGGACACTTGTTCCTTTACCTCCTGACAAGCACACTATTGGATGTAAGTGGGTGTATCGAATCAAGTATAAATCTGATGGCACTATCGAGAGGTATAAAGCTCGATTAGTGGCCAAAGGTTATACTCAACAAGAAGGCTTAGACTACCATGAAAAATTTTCCCCTGTTGCCAAGCTTCCTACTATTCGATGTTTATTAGCCATTGCAGCAGCAAAACATTGGATTTTAGAGCAACTGGATGTTCATAATGCATTTTTACATGGGGATTTGCATGAGGAAGTATACATGGATTTGCCTCCGGGTTTTGGTTCTCGACATGACTCCAGGGTTTGTAAGCTGAACAAATCCTTATATGGACTCAAACAGGCCTCTCGTCAATGGTTTTCCAAATTTTCATCTACCATTGTTCAGCATGGGTTTGTTCAATCCAAGGCAGATTATTCTCTTTTCACACGATCCCAAGGTTCAAGTTTCATTGCTCTGTTAATCTATGTTGATGATATTGTTTTAGCAAGTAATGATCAGGCAGCGATTGATGATTTGAAGCTATTTCTTCATCAACATTTTAAGTTGAAAGAGCTTGGTCCTTTGAAATATTTTCTTGGTCTTGAAATTGCTCGAACTAAGCAAGGACTTTCTGTTTGCCAGCGAAAGTATGCCCTTGATATATTAGCTGATACTGGCTTTCTTGGTTGCAAACCAGCCAAATTTCCTATGGAACAGAATCTGAAAATTAATCAGTCTGATGGTAAATTGTTGGAAGATCCATCCTCTTATCGTAGGTTGGTTGGGCGTTTGCTGTACCTTACTATTACCAGGCCAGACATCACTTATGTTGTTACTATTCTAAGCCAGTTTATGGCTCAGCCACGACACCCTCATCTTTTATTAGCCCATCGTGTGCTTCAGTATATCAAGAACAGTCCTGGTCAAGGCTTATTCTATTCAGCAACTTCCTTATTACATCTTAAGGCATTTTCTGATTCGGATTGGGCTGGTTGTCAAGATACACGTCGTTCTATCACCGGTTATTGTGTTTTTCTTGGAAATTCTCTCATTTCCTGGAAATCCAAGAAGCAAACCACAGTGTCCCGCTCCTCTGCAGAGGCCGAATACAGATCCATGGCTTCCACTGTTTGCGAAATTTTATGGTTAAAATATTTACTTGCTGATTTCCAAGTTTCTCATCTTCAACCAGCTACACTTTTCTGTGATAATCAATCTGCCCTTCATATTGCTTCGAATCCGATCTTTCATGAAAGAACGAAACATATTGACATTGATTGTCATTTGATTCGTGATAAGATTCAAGATGGGATTATTCAAACTAGCCATGTGTCCTCTAATCATCAAATTGCAGATGTTCTCACCAAAGCTTTGGGTTCTGCTCAGTTTCATTTTCTTATCTCCAAGATGGGTGTGTTAGATATCCACAAGCCATCTTGAGGGGGGCATATTAAATATATTAAATGATGTATATTTATCTGTTTAGTTAAGCTAGAATTAGTTTTATAATTAGTTAGCCAGCTGGATGCAAGGAGTTAGTTTGTTATGCAAGCAGTTAGTTTGTTATTCTAATTTGTATATAAGGTTTTTCCTTATACACGATTCTGTAACTGCTTATCATTTAATCAAAGAAGATTTTCTCTCTATTTTTGATAGTTGCACATTCATAAAAATGAACCAGACATTGAAAAAAGCATTTTGGTTTTCCTTCCAACATACTATTCACANTATGGCTGATGCTGATATCAAACCTGAAGTGCACAAGCTTATACATGATTTGGTGTTGCACATTCATAAAAATGAACCAGACATTGAAAAAAGCATTTTGGTTTTCCTTCCAACATACTATTCACTGGAGCAACAATGGTTCCTTCTGAAACCATTTAATACAGCATTCAAAGTTCATATTTTACATAGCAGTATTGACACTGATCAAGCTCTCAATGCTATGAAAATCTGCAAGTCCCGTTGTAAGGTAAACCTCTCTTTCAGGTTTTTTTTTGGGTTTTGCTGTCCTGACGGGAAGAGAGGGGAAGAGGAACAAGGCATGGGTGCTAATGGTTCTGCCCAATTCCCGAAAAATTCAGACCAAAAATGTGATAGAAAAATGGAATCATGATCGCTAACAATGGTCTTTGGGGTTCCATGGAGCTTGAAAACGTTGTCAATAAAGGCTTGAGCAATGGTGTGGACCGTGTAAGGGTGACTAAGGGCAATGAAATGGGCGTATTTGGTCAAACGGTTGACAACCACCATTATAACATTTTTGGACTGTGAGCGGGGAAGGCCTTCAATGAAATCCATCTTGATATTGAACCATGGGCGATCCGGAATTGGAAGCGGCTGGAGAAGACCTGGTGGATGGCAGTGCTCAACCTTATGGCGTCGACAAATGTCCTAGTTCCGAATGTGAAGGCGCACCGTTGTCTTCAAACCAGGCCAGTAAAAATTCTCTGAACCCGAGCTAGTGTCTTGTGGTAACCTGAGTGGCCTGCCAATGGGCTGTCATGCATTTGAAGAATGGCTTGTTTGTGCAGGTCGAGGGAACAGCCCAAATGGGGGCGGCCTTTGTAAAGAATCAACCTATTGTGTAGAGTTAGCTTCGGATCAGAGGAGCCTTCCCTAATCAATGTTTGGTACAGTGCAAGGAGCTGAGGGTCGCGTTGGTAAGCCTCCAGTAATTTTTGAACCCAAGTTGTTTCCACTGTTGAAATATGCATTGACGGGTTATCTTGATTCATCCTAGACAGAGCGTCGGCCACCTTATTCTTGCGGCCAAGTTTAAATTCAACACTGAAATCAAAGCCGAGAAGTTTGGAGATCCATTTCTGTTGAGTAGGTGTACCCACTCGCTGTTCCACCAGATATTTTAAATCCTGTTGGTTTGTACGGATTCTGAACCTTTGCCCCAATAGATAAGCACGCCATTTCGTCATAGTTAGGACTAGTGCAGAGATGGAGGTTTTTGCCCTGTAACCCCTGGCTAAGATAAGCTAGGGGACGTCCCTCCTGCATAAGAACAACACCAATGCCTTCACCAGAGGCATCACATTCAATGATAAAAGTTTTAGAGAAATCAGGGAGTCTTAAGACAAGAGGTGTGGATAGGGCCTGTTTGAGGTAGTCAAAAGCTGAAGTGTCAGTGTGGGTCCAATGAAAAGAATCTTTGCGCAGGAGTTTTGTCAAGGGCGGGACAATGGTGCCGTAGTCCTTGATGAACTTGCGATAGTATCCCGTGAGGCCTAGGAAACCCCGGAGGGCACGAACTGATTTGGGAAGGGGCCATTGAAGTATGCAAGAAATCTTTTTAGAATCAGCCTTGACACCATGGACCGAAATTAGATGACCGAGGTATTCAATCTCATGACAACTAAAATGACATTTAGATAATTTGACATATAGTTGATGACATTTAAGAATGTTAAGAACAACATTGAGGTGGGAGATGTGTTCTGTAAGAGTTTTGCTATAAATCAAAATGTCGTCAAAAAAAATCAAGACAAATTTGCGCAAATAGGGACGAAAAATGAGACTTTGAAAAGTAGATGGGGCATTAGTGAGGCCAAACGACATGACTAAAAAATCATAATGCCCTTGGTGAGTGTGGAAAGCCGTCTTTGGGACATCCTCGGGTGCGACCAAAATTTGGTGGTACCTGGGAGATTGTGTTTAGAGAAAATCATAGCCCCACACAATTCATCCAATAGTTCATCAATAAGAGGAATAGGATACTTATCTTTGATTGTCACTTTGTTCTGAGCGCGATAGTCGACACACATACGCCAACTTCCATTCGGCCTTGCGTACAAGTAGGATTGGAGAAGAATAAGGGCTTTGACTTGGTCGAATTATGCCACTGCTCAACATTTCAGTTATCAATTTCTCAATCTCGTCCTTTTGGTAATAGGGATACCGGTAAGGCCTTGAGCTAACTGGACCGCCCCTTCAAACAGCTGGATTTTGTGGTCTTGGCTCCAATGTGGAGGTAAGCCGGTGGGTTCCCGAAAGATGTCAACATAAGTAGAAATCAACGGTTGGAGGGCAAGAGGCACCTCAGGAGTGGATGTGGAAGAATCGGCCTACAAGAGGTGAACCAGCAATCCTTTTGTGCGAGGATCCGAATGAAAGCAGAAGTCATGCAATTCCATCAGTGTAGGCACAGACGAGCTTAATCCCTGCAAAATAATTGTGTTATTGTGCCAAGTAAAGCCCATAGTAAGCTTAGCAAAATCCCACAGGATTGGCCCAAGGGTGCATAACCAATTGACGCCGAGAACCAAATCACACCCTCCCAACGGAAGCAAGTAGAGAGTAGTGGAAGAGAGAAAGGCACTGATACATAATAGCCTAAGCAAGGAATACGATTGTCGTTGGCCACCATCACCGACAAGTGAGGTCCGTCAATTATGGGCAGATTGGCACGATCAGCTACTTTGGAATCTATGAAACAGTGGGTGCTACCTGTGTCAATAAGCACCTTGACCTGCTGTGAGCCCACCTGGCCAAGTAATCGCAGAGTGCGAGGTGCGGGAGCACCAAAAATTGCGTGTAAGGATATTTCAACTGTGCCACTTGGTGATGATGAAATAGGCCTGTCAGTATCCTCCATGGTAATAGCAGGTGGTTCCGGATCTCCAAGTGAGTCATGATCTTCCAATCCCTCCAGCAAAAACACTCTAGGTGTCTTGCAGCGATGCCCAGGGGACCATTTATCTTCACGATAATAATTGAGGCCTCGTTCGCGTCGTTCCCGCATTTGAGCTGAAGAAATGCGCTGAATGGGTAAATTGGTTCTTGGTGTAGATGGTAGAAGGCGTCGGTTAGGGAGTGGTGGAGGTGCAGGCAATGAAGAAGGTGTATAGGGAGGCATGGATCTGTAAGAGGGTAGTCTAGAGAAGCTGGTCTGTTGTTGGGCTGGATTTGCTGCAGATGTAGTGAAATTGGGCCGATTAAATGGGGCACACCTGCAAACTTCTTCTTCATAAATTCTGCCTAGGCCGAAGGCAGTGGGTAAATCAGATGGCTAACATAGTGATCATGGTGCGGATGTCATCTTTGAGCCCACTTATGAAGGTGCTGACCCAGAAATCTTCAGTAATGTTCTGTTTGGTATCACGAAAAAATTGAAAGATGGAAAGTTAGAGAGATATATAAAATATCATGTTTGATAAGGAAGGAAAATAGGAAGAATGAAAAATTGGATAAATTAATTTTCATTCTAAATCACTAAAATCAATCCCTCCAAAATCGAAAAGAAAATGAATAAAAAGTTAATTATTTGTATTAAGATGTGTCTAAATTGTCTATATATCTTTTAATATATACATATATTATGTATACATTAATTTCATATAAAAATACAATGATAAAATATGTATATATATATAAAAATTTAAAAAATAAAAAAAATTAAATTCAAAAAAAAATTCATCTTAACTAGAGGTGAAAATTTTTGACTCAACATGATGACACGACTCAAACTCAACGTGAATTTTATGACATAAACTCGATAATAACTCTACACGAACTTGAAAATGACTTGACACGCGAACAAGAAATATAAAAAGCTCATATTCAGTTCAATCAGTCAAATTCAAAATTGACACCATCAACCCGTTTATTTAAAAATAAACATTTTTTTTTATTTTCTCGTTTGTATGGTAATACGAAATTATCACGAAACTAACATGTTTAACTAATATTATAGACACAAAATGTTAATTATTTGTAACTATTTATTAAATACTGACATAATTATTATATAAAAAAGATATTTTTACTTATTATTATTATATTTATTTAAGTTAGTTTTTAGTTTGTAGAAAAAATATTAACATGGATTCAATTAAGCGAAAATAGAATATTAGTGTTAATTTTTTTATTCAAAGTTTATGTAGGTCAATACGAATACGAATACGAACACGATATAAAAAGGTTTATTCACAACTCGACACGACACAATTAGTTAAATGAGTTGAGTTAGATTTGACTAATGTTCGACATAAATCCGTAATAACTCAACACGAATTTGACACGACACGACTCGATTGTCACCTCTATTTTTAGCCAGCACAAAAAAAAAAAAAAATTAGTCATTTCTATTTTTCATCCATCCAACCAAACACAAAAGAAGAAAAATATATCATTTATACTTTTCTTCCTTGAATGATGAAAATCGTATTCCTCATTCTTTACATCCTTCCTGTCAAACGGAGCATAAGGTTAGTGATGCGATTTGAAAGTAATTCAAAGTGGAACTAATATTCTTTAACTATGGAGGTCTGCTGAAGTTTGGTAAACTCAGCCACTGGGTCATCAAACGGAGTAGGAGCAAATCGTAGTTGAAGTGCATCGACAAATGCATCCCAGGTCTGGACCGGATGTGCTTCCTCCAACAATTGAAACCAAGTAAGTGCCTTGCCTTCAATGTGAAATGAGGCCAATTGGAGTTTTTGTGGGTTGGGTGTATTATAAAAGGCAAAGAATTATTTGGCACGAAAAATCCAACCAGTGGGGTCGGAGCCGTTAAACTTTGGGAAATCTAACCGCATGGCACGACCTTGAATTCCAGTCGATGTTTCAAAGAGTGGGTTGGGATGGTTCAGAAAGGTAATGGGTGGGTTACTGCCTTCATGGGCATTGGGCGTTGAGGGGTTGGGTTGGTGGGTCAAGGCTAGGGTTAAGGTATTGTAACTGGTGGCTAAACTCGCGACTTGTTGAATAATTTCTTCCAACAATTGCTGCTGTTTGTTTTGGGCATGGGATAATTGGTTCTGGCTCTCACGAATGGAAGCATTCTCGGCTTGCAATTGAGAAAGTGCCTCCAAAAGTTGAGACAGACGAGTTCCATCAGCCATGGAGTTATCCTGGCTCTGATACCACTGTCAAGTATCCAGTAACTAAATAAGGCTCTTCGAGGGGCCAACCTCCAGTATACTTGTAATTGACTCAAGGAAATTGATATCCTCATTAATCAAACAAAATTACAATATATAGACCTTTGGACTTAACTGCTTGTAACAACCAAGAGAAGATAATGGCCTAATGGCCCATGAACTGCTTGTAACTACCAAACATGGTCCATGGCACAATAACAATAATGGACTGAGTCAAACACCAGACTCCTGACTCTTTCAGACTCCTAAATAAATGGAAAAAACAATTACAAAGTGCAAATAAATAACCATTGGATGAATTGGACAATTGGGATTGGTGCACGTGATTTGTCACATGACATCTTTGGACCAAAGTAAATTAAACATAACATTTGACAATTCGCCATAAGTACTAGTATTGAGCTGCGCTCGATCTATCCAATGTTCAACCTCAGAATCGCATGACTTAACATGTTCTTTCTCACCCAGAACAAAATCTGGGCCAAAATTCAAATCAGCGCAACTGTTGTATGCATAACTTGACACACTCNGATACTTGATAGATTGTGATTGAATGATTTCAAATTTTGTAATTTAAACGCGTATTAAGGGCCAATGTAATCCACGCTTTGTCAAAACAAACGGATTCCATTTGTTTTTCACTATTGTCTGTTACTTGAGGGGGGTTTAGTTCAAAACTTGCCAGCTCCTCAAAGTATAGGGGTAATTTGCATTTAACCCTTGAATCTATTCAGTTCTCAGTTATCAGTATAGGAGTGTGAGCTGATCATGATGCCCAATTTCAACTCGGGTAATTTGGGAGTGAGATACGTTTTACTATATTTTTTTCAAAATTTTTTCTTGGTAGTTCTCAATAATACATGGTTACTAATCTACAGGGCAAAGTGGAAGAACAAATATTAGAGGGGATCTTCGAGTAATTTGGGTGGGAAAATTCAAATCTTCTTAGCCTGATGTCCTAAGTTAAAGTATTATAAAAAAAGTAATGCTACATGTACTTAAAAACTAGACTTAAAAATTAGACTTGATAATCTCAACAATTGAATAGGTAGTGGATCTCAATAAATGCTGGGACCCACAGTGAAATCAATGGTTGAAATTATTAGGTCTAATTTTTAAGTCCATGTAGCATTGATCTTATAAAAAACTTCTACATGTGATTTGCAAGTGATTATACGCATTTAGAGTTTACATTTCTGATCAAGAATAAAGTTGTAAATAATGGCAAATTAAACAACATAAACGAATGCTCAAATCAAAATCTTAGAATTTTCAACTTCATGGGGATCAAAATCATATATAAGACCTGGAAAAACAAATACTTTATTTATAGAGTTGTCTTGGCAGTAAGGTTTAGTGCCAAAGTTTACAAGTACTTGACATGAGGATCAACTCTATGCACATAATATGTACTAATTTAAAGGAGTAAAGATTTTAGCGAGCTTTTTTTTTTTCTTCCTTGGATAACTCCTCCAAATTAGTCTTCGGACCAAAGTACATCAAGTATAACATCGGACGATTCGCCATAAGTAATGGTATTGAGCTGCGCTCGATCTATCCAGTCTTCAACCTCAGAATTGCATGACTTAACATGTTCTCTCCCACCCATAAAAGAATTTGGGCCAAAATTCATATCAGCACCACTGTTGTATGCAGAGCTTGACACACTGTAATCCACCACTTCGTGGTGCATGGAGCTTTGGTTAAAATGAGGCTGCAAATGTACAGCATTAGGAACCATTTCATCGACAGCAACATTAGGAACCACATCATTGTGCTTAAGTGCAACATTCGGCACCGTATCATTGTACATTGGAGTAGCGTTAGACACCACATCATTGTGCATATTTGTAGCATTAGGCACCGTTTCTTCAGCCATGTTATAGACAAAGTCTCTATATAGCCAATCGTCGACTGAAATATCAAGTGGCTCCACATCAACACCCTGTGGTAAAGCCGCATCATTGAGCATATTGTCCATTCCTAATTGAAGAAGTGGAAGCATGGAGTCTTGGCTGAAATGAGGCTGCAGAGCTGGATTAACCACTGTTTCATCAGGTTCTTCTTCTAAATTATCTTGCTGTGGGTTGTTCTTGGGCTTCACCCTCGTTTGATAGATTTTGCACAACACCAAATCATCCAACTGTAGGAAAAAACAAATGCTATGAGCTACTCTATTGAACTGTTGGTTAATCACTTAATCCATAACATGTATGCAATGGATCACGAAAAAAGAAAACAAATCGTGGAAAATCAATAATTACCACTTTAGAGCTATAGATTTTTGAATCACTTAGACATAAGTAAAATTACTGTATACCTTCATGTCACCTGAAGCCCTACTTGGAGTATTCTGCACCTTAGCTGTGTATTCTTGCATTAGCCAATTAGTCTTCCCTTGAGATCCATCTCTAGCATTCTTTTCATAAAAAACTAACGACTTCTTGTACCCGACTACCCGACCATTGCTATAAATTGGTTTGTCACCTCCTGAAGCCTTCCACCATCCATCACCAGTATTTCGGTTGGGCCGGGTGCCATTAGCGTACCTCTTTTCCCTTGGGGTAAAGAAATACAATTCATCTTCTCCATGTAATTTGTATTTCTCTGTCATTCCGAGAATAACCATGGTTATTTATTCAACATTAAAGTTGAAGTATAAAAATAAAATAGGGGCACAATCTAGATATCAAAAAAATATGAATGATCACCTTTAGAAAAATATAAAAATAAACAAAGATAGAATAGTATGAAAATTGAACATTTGCATATGGATTGTGAACCTAACATTACTCTATACTCGCCATTTATCATAGGATAGTTATGAATTAAATCTGATGATCCACAAAACAGCCTTATGCACAATCAACAGTCGAGTGTGTGATATAGCGTAATTAATAAAATAATTAGTGGCAAAAAACTAAATATCAGACCAACACGCAAATATATAGTGGTTCGGTCTGGGTGACTTACTTCACTCCGAAAGCGGCAACGGCGGTCGGAGAGCCTATATTAATAAATAAGGTAAGGGAGAGGGAGTTCCAGGAGATGTACAATAGTTAAGAGAGAGAAAAGCTATGTGGGTGGTGTGTAGAGAAGTGTAGACATGCCCCTCTCAATAGAGAGAGCTTACAATTAATAGGCATGAAGTTTTTAGGTGAGGCGGTGATGTGAGGGCAAATGTATTAGTTCCTCGGGGAAGATAGTTATAAAAAGTAAGTACAATTAAAATAACATTAATCTTCGAGAGTGGGTATCCCAATGATTATTCTCTGTGTGCTCTAATCTTCTTGGACTCAGGCCTTGGCTTGAATTCTTGAACTGGACTTGACCTGTTTTGTGAATGATTTGGACTCTTTTGATTGATTGGGCCTGATCCAGTAGAAAATGGGTTCATCAAAATCAACTAATAAGGTCCAAATAGTATTACTGGTTTGTAAATATGTGTTAAGTTAACGCATGAACAATCAACTCCTGATCAGTGGGTTTAAACTGGAAACCAGGCGGTAACGAATCCAAGTACTCGTCCGTGTACATTGACCCACCCACGTCGTTCGTAACAGTAGCTTGTGACGCCATTCTCGAACCCTAAAACAGAAAACTTGAAGTGTAAGAAACAACCTGATTGAAAAGAAAAAAAAAACAAAAAACTGTGAGAGTGGCTTTTGGATTCGAGGGATCACCATTGCAGGGAGGGAAAAAACGGCATTTTTGAAGGCCAAAATAAATCTCAACTACGAATTGGATATCTCATCTCTCTTTTTCTCTCTCTCTCACACACACGCACAAGAACATAAATAACAATTCGTTTCTTTTTAGAGCATTATTACGTGAACTTAAAAAATAGACTTGATAATCTTAACAATTTATTTAACTGTGAGTCCCAACATTTATTATGACTCACTATCTATTTAATAGTCGAGATTATCTAATTTTTAAATTTAATTTTTAAGTCCATATAATATTAGCAAAAAATAATCTACCTAAACCTGTCATACTCATACACACAGATACCTAGAGAATGTACATACTACAGAGAGACATATATACAACATTTTACGGGTAGGAAACGAAAAAGTAAAAGAAATTATACCCAAAAAACAGAAAAACAAAGTAGAAATATCTTACAAGAAGGAACCTTCTCACCTTAGCAGTTTCGTAGAGCTACCCATTTTCCAAAACTTTCAGAGAGTTGAAAAAACCTTGGTCCCCAACAAAGAGTATGTAACCACTGAAATGAAAGACAGAGGCAGAGAAAAAGAAATGTAGAGTACACTATCTAGAGGGAAGAGAGAGAGAGAGAATGGAGTGTACTGACTATGGAGGGAAGTGAGAAGGGAGGGGTTGTTTCGTATTTATTTCCATCGGAGTCTCTCGTTCGTGGTATCGGGCTGAGGATATTCAACTTCTATCTTCCACAAGTTTTCCCATTAAACGACTCAGCATCTGCCATGTCATTATTTGGTCCACGTGCAGCAAGCTAGTCTACGTGGCAAGATCTGGGGGGGTTGGTTANACCTAGAGAATGTACATACTACAGAGAGACATATATACAACATTTTACGGGTAGGAAACGAAAAAGTAAAAGAAATTATACCCAAAAAACAGAAAAACAAAGTAGAAATATCTTACAAGAAGGAACCTTCTCACCTTAGCAGTTTCGTAGAGCTACCCATTTTCCAAAACTTTCAGAGAGTTGAAAAAACCTTGGTCCCCAACAAAGAGTATGTAACCACTGAAATGAAAGACAGAGGCAGAGAAAAAGAAATGTAGAGTACACTATCTAGAGGGAAGAGAGAGAGAGAGAATGGAGTGTACTGACTATGGAGGGAAGTGAGAAGGGAGGGGTTGTTTCGTATTTATTTCCATCGGAGTCTCTCGTTCGTGGTATCGGGCTGAGGATATTCAACTTCTATCTTCCACAAGTTTTCCCATTAAACGACTCAGCATCTGCCATGTCATTATTTGGTCCACGTGTAGCAAGCTAGTCTACGTGGCAAGATCTGGGAGG